AATAAGAAATGGTTTTTTGAGAGTATAGATTTCTGTTGCAGTATTTATTGTTATAGAAAGATCCGATTTAGGGTCTTTAAGTTGTTTCATTAATTTATAAAATTTGAAAAATTAATTTAAATAATCCTAAATCTATACTAGGACATTTTAACGGTTTTTAATTATGTTTATCTACAATTAACTAAAATTATATACCTACTTTATACTATTGTTAAAATCCCTACAAATTTAAATTATTAAGAGGTTTTATTAATTTTATTGTAAGAAAAATTTATTGGGAGTGTTTGACCAAAAAAAAAAAAAATATATACTGCTAGATTAATTATATTACTATGTTATTGAATTTTAAAAAAATCCTATTTAAATTTAAAAAAAAATCTAATCTACAATCCTAATATTAATACGTAAGTATATCACTTAAATTAAAATATTTTTGCGGTTATAATTATATCGAATAAAAATTTTGAAAAGATTGATGTCGTATTGGCTGATTAATTTGAATTAATGAAAAAAAAAAGAATAAGAGTAACTATTTAAATTAAAGTTTAATTTTAAATTGTATTAATTAATTAATTTAAATTAATTCTAAGTTAGACAAGTTAAGATAAAATTTTTATTATTAATTAATTTACTTTAAATAAATTATTAAATAAATAGATTTGAATAAATTATTGGAGCAACCGAGTTAATTGTAGATAACTAATAACAGTTGTTATTATTTATTTATTTGTTTATTTGTTTGCTTATTTATTTTGATTATTTGTTTAATCATTTATTTACTTATTCTTAATTATACGTATTGTTGTTATTATATATTTAAATAAATTTCACCAACGAATTAATTATTTACGTACGATTTAAATGTATTTTACTCTAGTGTGTCAATTATATTTTAATCCTGTTTATTTATTCTGTTTATCCTGAATTGGTTACATTATTTAATTAAGTGATTATGACTATTGATTAATGAGTCAGAAAGATAATAATACTAGTTTAACTGAAAGTGAATCTGAAAGCGTACAATTAGTAGATCAGGAACCTAGGGAAGTCGAATTAATTAAATCAACAAGTTCTGATATAATTAACAACAAGGATAGTGAGTCAAGTGAGGAAACAACTAGTTCTAAAGAAACTGTTAACGATATAGGCAGAGTGGAAATGCAGAAGATACTAAATATTATATGACTTACGCACTATTAGGATTGATTCTATTTTTATTAATTTTATTCCTAGTATTATACGTACTGTATCGATACACCAATGTTTTAAAAAGAGCGAGTACCAGGAGGACAAGACAAATAAGTGAACCAATTAGTAAAAGTAAATTTTATACACAACAAGTGTATGAAACAATGATTAAAGATAATCCACAATCATACGAACTACAAGGACCTGTAGTGCAATGTAAGTCGTATAAAGATAATGAGATAATTAAAAACAGATATATGCAGGGTAATAAAGTAACAGGTACAAGTAAATTAATTACAGGTGCTAAATTGCCGTCAATAATAAATGAAATATAATGTAAAAATAAATTTAAACACGCACTGATTAAAATATACTGGTTTGTATTTCCATTGGAGATATTAAATATTACCATTAACCAACATATTTGTAATCAACGAATATATATAATCTGTAAACTAACATGCAATTTATTATTATATCAAATGCTATTGTAGCATTATTGTATTAATTATCAATGTAGCATTGTTTTACCAAATTATTAATTATTATATTGTTATGTTTAAAATCATATGAAAAAAAAATAAATAAATAAAAAAAAATATTGTTATGAAAATGAAAATTGTTATGTTATGAAAAACAAAAATATTGTTATGTAAATGAAAATTATATTCATATGTTATATTATGTGTAATCAAAATTATATTGTAAGTAAAAAGAGATTATTATGTCTTGAAAAGAAATTAAGTACAATGAAAATTTTTATGTCATGAAAAGAAATTTTATTATGTAAAATTGTTGTTATGACAATTATTAATGATTTATATATTGTAATTGTAAACTTATGTACTATGTACTTATGTATATTGTCCATGTCTTTATGAAAACATTCCTTTATGGGCGGTTTTAAAGATTTTTATAGTTCTACAAATTGTAGCCCTACAAAAACCTTTGAAAGGGCGATGAGGTGTAACGAGCTGCGACTACGTATATAATTATAATAATAATAATAATAATAATAATAATAATAATAATAATAATAATAATATATCCAATAATAGACACAAATGCTGCAGGGAGCACGTAACCCCGGGCGGCATACATCAATGGGACTAATGGTAATAATATCAAAGGTACTGGGCGACGCGTATTAAACACGTGATAAGTACATGCATGTAATATTACATAATAATAATCATAATATATTAATATTAATGTAATCGTAATAATAAAAATAATAATCCATATTCTAGGAAACACGAATAACATAATAAGTACAAATAAAATATAGTTGGTACGCTACAATACCCTGAAAACTAAATATTAATATTTTGACTAATGTTTATAACAAATCGTATATTATTTGTTGTTTCGTTTAAATAAGTACCTACAAAAATGTATACCTACTGTTAAAATGTACCTAAATAAATTATTATTGTTAAGGGGGCTCCAAGCATAATATGTTTTAAGGAGTAATATTTAGGCAATTCACATGACATGGAAATTTGAGCTATCTATGTGTGAGTAATAAATTACCATAAGTGTGTGTTTCCCAGAATGAAAATGTGTTGCAGAGCAGCAGATTTTGTGATTATTTTCAATACATGCCAAATAACTGTATTAGTGAGACATTAAATTTATTTATTTATTTATAAGGTAAAAATAAAAGTACCGACGTATTTAACGACTATATCTAAATACATTAAACATCATGAAATTCACTTACATAAAAATTTTATTTGGCATGATATACATACCAAAATTTGTTACAGAAGCTGATTCAAAAAAATTATCTTTGTCTATCTACTATATTTTTCCTTGTATGTAAATACTGAATAGTGGCATTAAATGTATACACAGGAATGCAATTATAGAAAAGAAAACATAACATATTACACATAATATTGTTCTTAATAAAATTCCATCATAAGTAGGTATATAGCAAAATATCAGTAATAGGTAAAACCAAATAAATATGAAAATGTGAATATTATTTTGCTATATAAATACATTAAATTGTTAATATTTCTAAATAATTTGGGATATATCAATTCTAGACCGCAAGATTTAGAAATGCTTAATTTTTTCAAAGAATTGATGTATTTTATTATTTTAAAAATGCTGAATGAAAATCTTAAATTTATAATTGTAATTCTACAATAACAATATTTTTAAATTGAAGAAAATTAAAATCTATAGTTAACTCCCGAGTTTACTTTTTACATTTTTATAATGTGTCCTAAATCAATATCTAAAAAACTTATTCAAGTTTCTTATAATGATATTCTCTTTAATAATACTTTAAGCATAATGAATGTGATGGTGTTAGGTGATTGGTTAGGTAAACAACCTGTCTTTATCCATGTTCAATTAATATTATTTTATTATTATGATACGTCAGTAGATAATTTTTTTTTTTTTATTTAAAAACAAATATACAATTGTACATTAATTTATACATTTGAATAACCTATCTTCTTTAAGCTAAGATTGTGGCGAAGATAGGGAGTTACAATTGTTACATATGCTGTTTACGCCCGAGAGTTTAACCGTAACAGTCGAAGGACCACTCGGTGATGCCCGAGAACAATTTGTTGATCAGGAGAGTGTTAGACGTTGCCTGTATCACTCCTATCGCCTACTATTGTGGTTGATAGGCAACCTTAGGTGCTTTCGCCTGATAGTTGGTGGGTAGGCAATTCTACGCACGGCGACGACAATGACGAGGATGGGAAAGACCTATTTGTAGGAGTGAGGATGGTGCAGGTTAGTTATGGGGAGGGGGTCTCTGTGGCCGATTCGGTTTGGTGCAATGACCACAGAGCTCACAACAATAGGGATAAAACTTAAAACTACCTTAACCCTACTGCAGTCTTGAGATGACCCACTGGATTAACGCTGTTGGCATTTGTCGACCTGGACGACCTGGGGCGGCCTCTCACACAACGTACAGACCTACGTTGCTGGCGGACTTACGCGCGGAATCTGACGGCACCGACGGTGACAACAACGAGCTGCCAAAGATGATGACGAGAGAGATAATGACAAATTAGACTTACGAATTTTTGTTGAAGATCGTATTTTTTATTGTAATAAATATAATGAAATTATTTTGTTCTCGCTTTACTAGCGGACCACACACACCATTCACGGATCGCTATACTAGCAGATCACAACAAATAATATTTATATGAATAATAATAATAATAATGATCGCTATATGAGCGGATCACACAGTATAAAAAACAAACAAAACGTATGGACGCTGTAATAGCGGACCAAAAAACACGAATAATAATTGAATAATTGAATAATAACAATACAAAAAAAGGGCGTTGGCCGCAACAATAATAATAACAAAAACAAAAGTTTTATCTCATAGAGATAACATTGACAACAGTTGTCTGAGGCAAAAGGCCGACAGATAATTTTTATAAGAAAAACAAAGAGAGTATATACAATATGAAGTATAACAATCGTACAATTATTATAATTTGCATAATCGTTGCTCTATAGTAACGGCAAGAGATACTGGATGAGTGGACGGAAGAGGAGGGAAGATGTCGCCGTCGCGCAGATTAGCGTCCCGCGATAAGCAATAATTGCTTGGCGCGAACATATGCTTAAAAGAAAAATAAATTTAAAACACAAATTGCGTAGCTATACAATATTGAAAACTCCATCGAGACCAACAGAAAGATCTAGCAATGGTTTCATAACCTATTTAAATATGTTTAAGTAGAATATGAATACACAATAAATGTATAATAATTACACATTAAGGGGAACCTCAAAAGATAATTTATACATACATTTTACTTTGGGCTAACGTTTTCTGTTGGTTTTATAGTTTTAGATTTTTGTAAAATTGATTTAGGAAGAGTTTTAGATTCAATACTATGTTCCACAATATTTTCATCATCATCATCATCATCATCAGAATCAGAATCTACAAGAGCATACTTTGAGAAATGTTTAACATTAAACACCCAAGATCCTGTGTCCGAACGATAATCTACAAATTGAGTGCTTAGTTTGGCACATGCTTTTTGAAGTTTAACAACAAAATTTGTAGCTGCAACACGATCAGGGTTAGTGATTGGTTGTTTGGTCGTTTTATCATTAGGCCAGACTCTATCCAAAGTAACAGTAGCCTTTCTATTTAACCCCTCCCCTAGGGGAGGCTTTAGTTCGTCATCTTGGTAAATTATAATTTCTCGGTGTCTTATGTGAACTGAAATAATAACACAATTTTGTTTTATTTTTTTGGATCATTAATAATACACCATACATTTGAAAAGTCAAACTAAAAAATATTTTAATTTAAAAAACACTGCCTATTTTTACCTGTAGTATCCAAGTCTAGACCCGCAACATTCAAACGATCAGGAAAATAAACATTTCCAAAGTCATAGCGTCCTATTGTAAAACCATCTACAAAACATGATCCGTCATCATCTACTAATTCTGCCAATTCATTCATGGGTGGAATAGTATAATATCCAACACGTCTTAACTTTATCCCAGTAGGATGAACTTCAAGAGAATTGGATTCAATTGAAGGTTCTTGGTTATCATTGACAACCATATCTAAAGCCGGGCAGAAAAATTACATACAATAATATATTTTAATTTATAAATATTTAAAATAATTTGTGTTTTTAGCTATCATTGTTTTGGAGCAAGGAACTAATGCTTTTAAATTTGTTTTTTGTTATATATTGTTGAAAGTTAAAATTGTTTTACATTTGTTCAATTTTAGACTTTTGTAATTTAACTGAGAATTTATTATTTCCATTTAGGTAAATATGCAATTTTTGTATATTTTAGAATCTAAACACAAATTTGACCATTCTAAATAAAATATTTTTTATTAAACATATAATAAATCAATAATGGTATGTTAAATGAACCGCATTTAAATTTAAATCTCTAATTAGAAATAATGAATCAAAAAGAGCAAGACTAATTATTTCAAAAATGTCTCCAATGTTTCTTGTTTAATTTAGATATTATTTATTTATTATCATAAAATTATAAAATTGACAATTTATTTACTGGTAATATTATTTTGAGAAGTTTCATTGGCTTTTGTTCCTTTTGAAGTATTCAAATTGTTTTGTTTGTTGCTTTGTAATTGAAAAATTGTGTTGTTTTCTTTAATTAAAGATTTATCTTCTGGTGAGTTTTGTTTATTGTAAAAATATTGCTGTAATCTAAAACAAAAATAAAAAATTATTTATAAATGTAATACATTAAATAACAAGTATTTATATATTACTTGGCAAGTGGTTTTGTATGCATAATTATACTATTTCCTTTGTTTAATTTACTACAGACATTGATATCTTTTTTTAAATTCAATTTCTTACAGCTTGATCTTGGAGAGGAAAAATTAAGTAGTAGTGAATTATCACCAACTTTATCTCGACGTTTCATTGTTAGTGGGGATTCTTCAAGTCCATCAAATAAGGACTTTCGATTAAATTGAGTGAAATTTCTACGAATTTGAAGTATTCTCTTTGGTGTTGGTATTGGAGAAACTTTATAGCTACCAAACTTTCCAAATGATACACTTTGTGAAGGAACAAGAGATGAATCATCTACTTTTGATACATCCTAATTATAACACATATTTAGTTTTAATTTTAATAAAATAAACAATGAATCTTTTAGCACTATTTAAAGTACCTTGTAAAATCTTCTGAACAAAGGTGAATCTCCATATGACATTGCTTTTAATGTATCTAGTTGTAATTGCATTTGATTACTTTGTGATGCCTGATTGGTAGATAGTTGAACGTTATTGGTACTAAAATTAAAATATTATATTTAGTTTCAGAAGTTATAATTTTACTTTTATTCAAACTTAATTACTTTCCAAAAAGTCCGAGTCCACCAGCTTGTTGGCTATTACCAAAAAATGATGTACCACCTGTACCAAAATTACTAGGATTAGAAGATCCAAAAAGTCCAGTTCCTTGTCCAAATAACCCTCCTGGTTTTGCTGCATTATTAAATACACCTAAAATTTAAATTAAATTATGTATTTTCAATGTAATTTATTGGCTGTTATAGTATGCATTCTACCAGCCATTGTCTCTCTGCTAAGGGATGTGGTCTAACTGCAGCAGGCTGGTATTTACACGGGCTCTGAACATGTTTTTTTTGGTTAACACTTTATTGTTATAACTTTTGATAACAATGCTTCAAAAATATCGTAAATGTATAGACGCTTCTTACTTATTGCAGAACACAACAATTTATTCTACATACTTTTGGACACTCACACAGTCACACACTCAATATGTAGGCAAAATAATTTTATTTAATCATAAGTAGTGATGAATCAACTACCCAGTTTTAATTAATTAAAATGTTTAGGCAAACGATGAAAATGCCCAATGTAAGAACTAATAAGACGTGTGGAAGTGAGATGAATTTGTACATACGTTAGAGGAAAGAGGCTAAGAAAGGAGAGTATTACCTTGCAATTGATAGGGATGTCAAACAACTTTTTCTTTTTTTATGAAATGATATAATATTTTTTAAAAAATTTTTTATTTCTTTTGAAATTATTATTTTTTGTTCGCTGATAGATTGCATACTAGATGATAACCAATTTATTTCCATAGTTATTATTTATATTATAATAATTGTATAAACCTGTTTGTTTATTTGATTTGAACCAAATAACTCACCAGTTTGCAGTTGTGCTGTAGATGTAGCTCCAAAAGCATTGTTTGTACCAAAAGCTGGAGTCATTTGAAAACCAGTATTAGCAGGTTTATTTCCGAAAAGAAAATTTGCACTAGTAGATGTATTAGTTCCAAAACCAAAACCTGTGGTTGTTTGTGTTGATCCAAGACCATATGCTGGTTTACTTTGACCAAATAGATTATTCTAAAAATATTTTTATAATTTTTTGGTATTTTTTTTTCTTACAGGAATTAAAAAACATTTTTTAAAGCAATAATAATAATAATAACCTGAGCGGGTTGTCCGAATCCAGTTTGACCAAATCCAGTAGTTTGAGTACCAAAAGTTGAAGGAGCAGTATTTCCAAATATATTGGTCTGAGTAGCAGCAACTTAAAAATAAATATATATTAAAATATATTAAAAATATTAAGGTATGTTTACAAAAATATTGGAAGATAAGCCAGAGTTCAACAAAAATTACTACACACTCTAAAAAATATAACAATAATTATTAATTAACAAAAACTTATACAATTAAATTAAGAATTCATATAAAACGATGGGAGCAGCTTTCTAATCTAAATAAGTCCTAATAAGAGGATGATTGTTAGCATAATTAGTGGTGTATGTACATAGGTACAAATCACAAACAGATAGTGAAACTAATAAACTTGGTAATGATTTATGATGATTAAAAAAACAGACGGTGGAAAGGTTTAATTGATTATAAATAATACATTAGAAAAATCTGATTAAATATATACTATTTTTACTTTGAAAATTACCTCCAAATGGTTTAGCTGTTTGAGCTGTATTTGATCCAAAAATATTTGGTTGAGTTGTATTCATACCAAATGGATGAATAGATGGTTGAGAACTAAATGCTGATGTTGGTTGCTGAGGTTTTCCAAATATGTTACTTTGTGCCCCAAAAAAATTTGAAGTACCAGTGTTTCCAAATCCTATTTATTTTATACAACTGTTAATACGTTTATATATATTGAAGTACAATAAAACTTTAATAACTTCAAGTCCAATAAAGGAATAAATTATGACTTACAGGCAACACCCCCGGAACAATAATTTCAATTAAATTATATTACTTTAACTAAAAGTTTTTAAGTTCAGATACAATCTAATTAATAAGTATAAACTTTTATACTTAAACAAAAAAATATTTTTAATTTTGTATGGACAAATAATATTATTTAATAAAAATAATAAATTGTTGATTGTGCCCCTTAAATAAATTAAGGAACACCCTTAGGAACACCATGGAGGTCAATCACAGTTTTATAGGCCATGTTATTTATAATCAATGGCTATAGCTTAATTTACATAACCTTAATTAGGGCGAGTCCAAATGATTACACAATTTTGAAATATCAACATTTTTCAAATTATAAAAACTAATAGTGTATACTTTAACATAAAATACTACACCAAGATTTGTTTTGATCAGTCAACATTTGATTATTAAGTTTGTACAAATTGTTATATATAAATTAAGTGTTTAAAATACATAAGTACTTACATAATATAATCCTCAAAAAAAAAAAAATAATAATTTACCTCCAAGTGCAGGTGTTGTTGAGGTAGCACCAAAAAGTGGTTTATTATCATTCGCTCCTAATAAACCTGTACTTGTCGTTGTTGTAGAACTAAACAACGTTTTAGGAGATCCCGAAATTCCGCCACCAACAGCGTCCTATGAAAAAATAATAAATTAAAAATAAATGAGATGCAGCTTAGGTTATAATAATATCCTAGTAATTATTGTAATTTAAAATATTTGCCATAAATTATAAAACTAATATTTAAAAATAGAAAAAGTTAGCATAACATAAAATTATTCTTATTTTTATGTTACCTGTTGTCCAACTTTGCGGTTTGCAAAATAATCTTCAAATCTAAGTTCCTCCAATATTTTTGTGTTATATTCTTTCATTATAGTTATTGATTGATATCTAGTATTAGTTGTTTGATTTACACCATTTACGACCATTGTATCAGTACCAGTCACAGGATTAAATTTTATGGTTGTGCCACCAGCAGATGTTGCTCCAAATCCTGTCGTAGCACCAAAGGTACCTGTAAAATGGGTGCATATAATGGATAACATTTATTTAAAATACCTTAAGTCCAGCAATTGTAATTTAGATCAATTTATATATTTACTTTAAAGAATCTGAATAAACTAAAATAAATACTTTAGTATTAATATTTTTTCTTAAAGCTAGAGATTCAAAATAATATATGAAATATAAATATATTTAAATCAATGTCCACAAAATGTATGTAATGATTAAGAGGACATTTTTGATCCCATCTTACTAACACATAAAAGTAAACTTTATCTTAAATATAATTCATTTCCCTGTTCATTTTGAACATAGAAAATTGATCTATTATAAAACTTAAAAGTAAAAATATTATCCAGGATCCCTCGGAAGCTTTTTATGCTTTAATTTTGTAGCAAGTGATAAGGGTTTTAAATTTCACAAGAAGTGAACAGTTATAAAATGATCATAACTTGCTTTAAAATTAATTAAATTATGATAAAAAACCTGTAATAGTAAAAAGTATAACATCCTCTTAATAGGGTGAGAATTTTGTATGACTTTTATGCCTTTTTGCTTTAAGTTGTGCACATCTTTAACCAAATTATAGTTATTGTTTTGGTGCATCACAGAAGCAGTTACATTACATTTTATGAGCAAATGTTTTCATATTTTTTAAACTCTATATGTATTATATAAACATGTATAAAAAGTTATTATTTTTATTATTAGATTTACCGCTTACAAATAGCCTATTCATACTACTCACGCTTGTCATACATGCTATAACAGACACACTATGTAGAATAGTGGTTATAGAATAGTAGTATTGAAGTTATTGCCGATGTTACAACTCACACAAACACTAAAATACACTAATATAAAACGAGTAGTTTCAATTAATAATATATTAAACATTTAGAGAAGGTTTTGAATAAATAACACATTTTATTCTGTCATATTTGATGGCTTTAGCTTGATATTTTTTGAGCGTATTAACATGAATTAAACTTCATTAGTTATTTATGTTAAGATTTCGAATAAATGATAAAAAAATCAAGTTTAATTACTCATATACTCATATACTCATAAAATCTATTTTTAAATATTTAAATTATAGGTTTAGAGTCAACAATTATTGACTAGTATGTTCATTGTTTTCCTGTTTTCTCACGACTAATATATAATTTTGCTGGTTACTCATTCTGATTTGTAAAATTTAGTTAGTTTTGATCTTATAACTGCATGTCGTAAGTGCTGTGTGGTATTTCATTCAATTACCAAAAAATAGGAATTTAAAACAGGTGGTTGATCATGGAAAAGTGGTAAGATTTGTCTCATAAAAAATTATTCAAAACATTTTTGTCCCGGCTTAAGTAAAATAAATTATGACAATAATAATAATAATAATATCCCAATTATAATGATTATGTTTATAGATTACCAGTAGTAGAGGCTCCAAACATTCCGGCTCCTGCAGTGCTTGCTTGAGGTGCACCAAATATATTATTACCAGTTGGCTGCGCGACTGGTGTTCCAAAAGCGAATCCTGTTCCAACTGGTTTTGATTGTCCAAATGAAGTATTAAGATTACTGGAACCAAATAATCCACCTCCAGTATTTCCCCCCATTGAAGCATTTTGCTGGCCAAATAACAATGAAGTAGATGCCGATGTTGCTGTATTAGTACCAAACAGTGAAGTTCCACTGGTATTGAAACCTAATAAAATAATTTCATTAAACTAATGAGTATTTTAATCTTATCTTTTAAAAATTAACTCTAAATAATAACCTCCAAATGTTGGTTGAGCGGTAGGCGTCTTACCAAATGCAGGCGCAGCAGCAATCGAACCAAATAATCCCGTATTAGGCTGTGTAGTTTGATTAAATAGTGATGTATTTGTTTGACCAAATACTGTAGGTGCAGCGGGCATACCAAATGCTGACTGACCAAATTCTGACGTGTTTCCGGCCCCGCCGGTGAATGCACCTGTTCCAGAACCTGTCATATTTAGACATTTAGTACAACATAAAATAAAGATTACGTTGGTAAATATAATTGTGTACACAGATTAATAAAATATCTAAGTAAAAACTGTAATTGTTTTAACAAATTACTTAATGTATATATAATAATAATGTAATCAAATAACTAGTAATAACGAAATACTCAAACCACTTACCAAACATTCTAGTCTGAAAAATCTTTACTTCAAAATCGTAATTATAAAGTTATATCTGAGGTACATAATATATCAACAATACTATTATAATAATAAAACAACGTGAAACTTCGTGAAAACACTCTGAAATCTCAACTCAATGACGATTGACAATTTACTTACTTAGTTAATGCTACTGATAAAATGTGATATAACAGGAGTACCAACTTAATAAAATCTTTGATTCTTGAAAACAAGCAGTGACCATTAAACCATAGAACAAAAATTAAACCCATGAAGATTAAGGAAAACAAGGGGGGACGTGGGGGTAAATTCCCCCCACCCATTGGATTTTTATTACTTTAGTAAAAAGTTTTGAGAGGGTGGGGGATTTTCCAATTTTTCCCTCCCATTTAACTATGGGGCTTTTTTTTTTTTGATCCCCCCCCCTTTCAGAAATCGTGATTAAAAGTATAGCTTATAATAATGGTAAAAAATTATAATAATGATAAAAAATTACAATAATTATGCTAAATGCTTTATTAAATTATAATAAGGAATTCAAATTATTTGAACTATTATAAAAGAATAAAAAGAAATCATGATAGTTATAAAAAAATTAATTACCTATCAACAATTTATTTTGACTATTTTATTCAGTCAATAAAATATAATTTTCTAAGAATTTCAGAAGGCCCTGATTAGTCAAGTTCCATTTATATTTATGAATAGAAAAAGTTTTTAAACAATTTTATTTGCTAGTAAAATATTGTACCTTCAATATAATGTTCTTTAAATTCAACCTGTAAAACATAAAACGAGTAGAAACATTATCACCTAAACCACAATTGCAGAGTCCACTTCACCATGCTAACACATTCTATTTTTTTTTATAAAGGTTGAGGTAAAAAAATAATGTATTTTAAATACTATTAGTTTATTGATAAATATAAACGTACAACTGCCAACTTGCAAATAAACAAAATTTAGATATCTATAGTAAGTAATTAAATACAATTTATTTTTTTTCCTAAATGCTGCATCAAGTTTTTGTTCAAAACCATTTAAAGAATCTTCATTGGTTGTCGGAATACAGAATTCAAATTCATCGACTTGATCTTCAAATAAAGCTTGTCCATCTTTCCATTGACTTTGGTTCAACAAAATTTTTTCCAGTTCATTGTGTCTCTGCGCAACTGCCTCAAGATGGTATCTTATTTTTAGTACCACTCCCAAAATTTTCTTCAATAAGTTTTCTAAGAAAATTAAATAACAGAATTACAACTAAGCTTTATATTCTTAAAAAGTTATAGAACTAATTTTATACAATATTTAAAACATTTTATCATACATACTTCATATTATTTATAATGTATATATTTAAATATATGGATCAGTGCTATGGGACCCTCATACAACCTCAAACTCCTTCCTACTAGAGCACATTCAAAGACCTTTCCCATCTTTTGCTTCATATGTACTAAAAATATGAAGATCATGCTCCACATGACTCTTTCCCTGTACTCATCGAACTAAAACTTTCTTCACTGGTCAATAGAAGAGCGCCAGCTGCTAATTTATAGTTTCTAAACAAACTCTTGGACAGTTCTATAGATGACCCCACCCTCGTCTCCAATATCAACTTTAGAGTACCACATCGTTTCTTCCTTCACCATACTCCTTTCTCGGTGTCGAATTCTACCACAAAATACGGTTGAAATAACCCCATCCATCGCATTATGGGTATGGCTAATGAACAACATACCTTTTTGTCATAACCAGGGCTAGTGAGTTCATGCATTTGCATATCAATCTTGCTAAGTCGTATTTAATGCTAGGTGACATAGAAATCCATTTCAAGGTACTGTGGTTAAGTATGTGAAATTTAATGTTGCATATTTTTGCATATTTAGAGGTTTTTTAACTATTTGGCATATTTATGCGTTTTTATATTTTATTGTGCATATTTTTATCGAAATTTGATCAAAATGCAATAATTTATATTTTTACACAGTATAAAATATATGAAAATTTTCGCAACATCAAATTATTAAAATAGAGCAGATAAAGTGAGTACAAACGTACGTATACGAATGTATAGGTATGTATAGCCTGCATTAAGCAATTAGTAGAAAACATGTTATATGAAAATAGTCTTTACTCTTATAGTCTTATCTGACTTATCTTCTTGATACTTTTACAGTGGTTTACTGGTTTATTCAAGACTTTAACAATACTTCGAAAATCTTATATATTTTTTAACTTCGTTTTGAAATTATCGATCATGCCGAAAAAAAAACTGTCATCGGCCTGTAAACTAAGACAATTAGTAAAGGAATTTGGTGAAAATATATTCTCGGCCGACAATAAAATATTATTTTGTAAGGTTTGCGAAGTAAAAGTCGCGAGTGTAAAACGCTTTAGTGTTGTGCAACATATTAATGCTGAGAAACACAAAACATCACTTCACCGACTGCAATATAATAAAATATAACTTTTAATAAACTTTTAATAATATGAATGGACATTTTTTGTTATTCCAAAATTTACTTATAGTTTTTTTATTTTTTAATCTACATATTTTTAGATTTTTAGGGCATATAAATGCATATTTCTGAACTTTTAAAGGAATATTTCAATGCATATTTTTCCAGCTTTTAGTGCATAAGTGCATACTTATTTAGGCATTTTTTAGAGCATGAACAGTGATTTCTAGTGAAGCCCTAGTCATAACTATTACTGTAACCTATCTGTTTTAATATTTACTGTTTTATATTGTTATGTTTGTATTAATGTAATATTTTGTATGAATTATGCTCTTCCCGTTAGGTTATAACTTATGATAAATAAATAAATAAATTGAAATAAAAAATTTAATTATATTATAAAAAATGCGTTAAAATTACTAAGCAATGTATAAACTATATTGGTAGCATGTTTTAAACATGTATAGACAATATTTATTCAGCGTGCATTATAGACTAAAAATAAATATTATGGCATTGAAAATCAGACGAAAAAAGTATTGATTTACAGCTGAATTCATAATAGTACCTACTTATATAATAGGTATAAACAGTTCTTTTTTCTTAAGTATACTGCTGACGTCTCCCTAAGTAATTTTTATTTTAGAGGATAATATATTCTAAATAATTTAAACTACTTTATTAAATATTAACATCTGTTATCTGTAACCAATATTTTTAAATATATGTATACAAACCAATATTACTGTTCCCAGCAGCTGAAAATGCCAATATTTCTTTATGTACAGTAGGAGTGAATATCTGGTGGTTTTCTGGTGATGACACTTTAAATGGTGATGAAGATGTAGGTATTATATATGGCTGTTGTTTTGTATGCTCTTTCTGAAGACTTAATTTAAAATACATCTAAATCATTATAAAAGTATACTAATTTGACTCTTATTTACACATAATATAATATAATAATACCATTATCAACTAATGTGCTTGGTTTAAAAGGTTTGTCTTGAAACTCAGATAATTTCCTTGCAACATATCATGTTTTGTTTCTGCTGTTGGGAGATGATAAACACTCACTATATAATACAACACCAATAGTTTAAATATTTACGTATAATGTATAATAAGTATGTGTAATAGGTACTTACCTTCAATAAAATTGTTGAGTTGTCCAAAAAGTGTTCTTTTAACTTTTGAAGGTGGACAACCTAAGATCTGATAACTAGTACGACCTTAAAAAAAATATAATTTAATCCTTTGAACATGAAAAAATTGAGTTATTAAATTATAAATACATTAATTTGATAAACAGATAATATTCGTAAATGTAAGTTCAATAATAGGTCAGTATTCACTCTTATATACTTAAGCTAACAACAAAAGTTTGGTTCTGATGAACACAAATTTGCGATGATGGGTCAGAGAGAACAAATAAATAGTGCTCTTAATTTACAAACAATTTTTATACCTAGGTATAATTTTTATACAACATCTAGTATTTTTATATCTATTTAGTGAGGTATTTTAGTTTGATAGTTTCATCATTTCCATGCATTGTAATTTGTAATAGTCACAATGTAAAATCAAACAATTTATAATGCAAACATGGATGATAACTAAATTTTGTTATTTACCTTTATTACCTGTTTTGAATGTTTTTCTGGATTATAACTTTATTTATCTATATCACTGTTGTCATAACTGCTGTCATCATTGTTGTCTTCGTTACTCAATATCACTATATAAATACAAATCATTTATCACATGATTTTTAGAAAAAAGTAGAAATCTAAGTAATTTCTAAATAATTGAGGATAATAGTAAATAATTAATTTATAAATTATTTTGATTAAATTAATCACCTTTGTTGTCACTACTATTCAAATTGATCATTGAAGGAGGATCTTCAATAGCATTTCCAAGCAATTTATTACTATTGTATGATGGTCTCTTTGGTTGTTTTGTTTTATCGGTTTGTTTTAAGTCCATGATATCATTTGTCGGTCGACGGTGTCGTTGATTACGAGTTGACTTATCTTGTTCATAAGTTGACAACTCTGATGTTTCTTGGGCCATTATTAGTCTAGAACGTACATCTTCTAGACTAGCTATAATAATAAAAATAATATAAACATTACAATTTATGATATAACTATACAAATAATTAGTCAATAAAATTACCATCATTTTTAGATATAGGCCTTGCCTTGAAATAGTCAAATTCCAATTAATTTGGTTCGGAACGCCGGACAACATATTTTTCGGATTTCTTATACTTCTCTTTGGCCCACGCACAATAGCCATTCTTATACCAACAATTTGGGACAACTTCAACACAATTTTCTTCATCAAAACATATAA